GTCTTCGAAATAATATTTCGTGTATTATTTTTCGTCTTTCGAATTCGCTTAAAACAGAGATATAATGTCCTTGTGGTTCGAATCGTTTGACCCTTTGGGATTCGAAGTATTTTGTTGTGGATACACACTATATGCTCCTAATATAACTGAAGGGCGGAAGTGGTGTAGTGGCAAGTGGCACGCTTACCACGCGAGCGGTCCGGGGATCAAATCCTGGGTCGTGAGTCGCCCGGGCCTTCCATCCCTCCGGGGTCGGTTAATTGGTACCAGACTTGTCTGGGAGGATAAAAACACTGACTTGTACATCGGCTGGCCCCGCAAGTCATTGTATAGGCCACATCGCATTCAAACGCCACTACGAATGTACAAATGGAAGTAGAATGCGTGCCGCATCCCAAAAAGGGATTGATCAACGGCAAATGCTTTATCCTTTTATCTTTAACTCGAACAAATCAATGATAGGATGGTTGTTCAACTTGTTTATCTTAGGACATACGTAAGATAAGTAATTCTGTAGATGATATCACTGGCATTATTTGGCGGTATCACAAGTGTGCAATCAGGTATATACGGTACCCATCTACTGCCGTTGGTCCATCCCCGAAGCTTGAGTACCGCCCGGACCCCTACGGACCAGTAGATACGGTATTTGAGGAGCGCCCTCAGTTCTCTATATAAACCCCACTGAATGCATTATAATTGTCGATTCTTACACTGACACGTCGTAGCAAATGTTATACGATTAATTCTTCCATTGGGTTAACTAGCCAAACTGTACTTGGAACAGAAAAATTCCGGGTCTAATCTTCAAGTCTTTATCTTGAAAGTAACGGACTAAAAACTGTCTAGGTAAACACACTTGACTGCTACGGCATGTCGCGCACACTAGGGAAACCCAGTCAAAAATTTCTACAGGCAAAATTTCTACACGATCGTACGGGAGCAAAGTCAAAGTTTCCAAAAAGATATGCTCGAGATCTACTAAGCATCTAGGAGAAAAGATTAAGTGCAAGTGGCTCGAGGTGGGCCACTGTCGAGGTTTTCTCGACGGTCAGCTGTACGTTTTTGTCTTGCTGTATGGTGTCTAGATGGGGGTGCATTTGGGCTGTTCGTCGGAATACCCTTATAGTTAGATTGTGTAGATACAATAGAAGGGGGAACATATGTGGTTTTGGTTACTTTGCTGAAACTCCTGACATCTTCCACAGATCTTGCTCGACTTTACATACTCTTAAGGAACTAGATATTCTTCAATTATCCAGTGTATCTCTGTGGAATTGAAGAGAGCGAAACTGGAAAAATTATCCTATTGAAAATTCAAATTAATGACGTAAATTCCGAATTACGAACGCTCCTAATTCAACAGATTAGACGACTTCCCAACAACACACCACAACTGCTGCTTTGCAGTTAGTTATTCTGTTGAACTATAAGCCTCTTAAGATCCTTTGATTTGATTCGATACTATAAACTGCCGAAAAAAAACTTCTCCACAATTCTTTCTTCAACTAATCAAACACTAGGTTTCCGAAACTGTTAAAATTTCAGCAGTGTTCATGTAAGATGACAAGCATTTTGGGCATAAAAGCGAAAATTTGGGAACGGAAGCGCCTTCCTTTCTGCCGCTTCTTGCACGAATGTGAATGCGAATTGGAGTGACAGAGCGTTCTGAATCCACGGCGGATTCCTTGTCCGCCGTAACCAGAAATGGGACCATTTGAGCGAAACCACTGGACAATAAGTTAGAACCTTCACAAAGCGAAATTGCAATATTGCTGTAGTAGAACTTACCAGAATTCATGAGATTGAAGAATGACAAATTTTTCTCTCATATTTTCTCTCATATTTTTCTCTCATATCTCATATTTTAAAAGAAATACTCTCCGTCGATAATGCTGAAGATGATGGCTTGCTCTAAGCATCATTGGAACATCGGTGAGTTGAAGAAAAGCCTGGAACAAGCTCGTATCACCAGCGTAGGAAATAAGCCGGAAGAAGAACCGAGATTGGGAATGTGAGTGGCTGTTCCGTCTACTCTGACGCGCTCAACTGTGGGCCGATGTCATAGTTTGCGAATCGAGCGATTCGCTAGCGAATCGCTGGATCCGAGCGTTGCGCCAGCGAATCGAACGATTGCACCAGCGAGTCGAACTATGTACCAGCGACTCGACACTGTTTGAAAGTGGCGGGACCCAACGTTTAAAGGAAGTCACTTCAAAGGACCACACTGTTTGAAAGGCGGGGCT